AGCTTCTTGCCCTCCTGACTCTTACCTATGCCTCGAGGCCAGGCCCCCCCCGAACCCCAGCCGGGCTGGGCTGCTCCCCTCTGCTTCAGTGCAAAATCGGATGGAAATGATGCCTTTTTGCTTCTGCGTCCCCAGTCGCCTGGGAGCATTCCAGGCTCAAACACGGGGGGGTCTGGCGCATGCTGGGTCAAGGGAGCCTCCTGCGACGGGGTGCTCACCGACATCATGGATGAACTGCTCAATCTTGGCCTGCATGCCCCAGTAGCGGAACTCAACCTTGCACAGCTTATAGGCACACATGAGGGGCCCTGTTTGGGCCGCTGTGCGTGCCCAATCATCAGCCAGCGGTCCTCGGCCAGTCTTGGCCGAGCGATACAGCCGAGGGTCCTCTTCTGCTTTGTACTCTCCTGGGGCCACTGCATCCCGCACAATGTCTATGGTGTCTAGAGGGAGAAGTTCCAGTGGCACTGGGTCACACCAGCCCCCTCCCCACCTTCCCTGCCCTGGGATAGGGAGGACAGCCTTCCATGGCCAGGAAGCCGAGGCTAGGAGAGAGCCTGCGGCTTGTCAGGGGCTGCCCACTGAGGTGGCAGGTGGCCTGAGAGGGGCTTCGGAGTCCCCCCACTGGCCCTGGACCTCACCCAGGATGCGCTGTCTCCTCTCAGCTCCACTCAGGTTGAAGACATTGGGCTGCTGCCCACCATCAGGCAGGTAATATGTCTCTATTTCAATGGAGAATTTCTCCACAAAGGGGCAGGTGTACCTGGGCACAGGGCAGGGGTGATGGTCATTACTGTGCCCACCAGGGCTGCTCTCCTTGTCACTCCAGGCCTGCCCTCCCCCGACTCACCGTGTTCGGGTGTAAGGATAGGCATTCCAGGATTCCTCTTCCACTTGCAGGGCAGCCTTGGGCAGCAGTGCCCGGAACCAGCCTGGGATGTGGGAGCCCACGTGGTACACCTTGTGTGTGTACTGCCCGCTGCCGCCGGGCCCATCCGTGTAGGGCCGGTTGGCCAGGATCTCCACACCACTGCCCTCACCGCTTGACTCCTCCCGGCTCTTTTTCTGCACCAGGAAGGGGGGAGTGGGCAGAGCAGAAAGGGCAGCTCAGCCCCCGCTGAGCTCCCGGAGGTACCCAGCTCAGCCTGGCCCCCTGCACAGTGTCAGAGCCCTAGCCACAGCCTTTCCACCTCCCCGAAACCTGACCCTGGTCCCCTGCAGTTCCCGGAGGTCAGGATCACAGCTGCTGTCCAGTCCTCCATAGGGCCTGCAGCCCGGCACTCACTCATTCACGTAGTGATTGTCTGCTATGTTCCAGGCATATTGGGATTACATTAACTGGGATCTGCTGTTGAGGAACAAAGCAAAGATCCCTGCCTGTCCTGTGGGACTTCCGTCCCAGTTCAGAGAGGAACTTAACAGAAGCAAAGGATATGGTATGTTAGAAGGGGTAAGTGTTATGGGAAGAAGGAAGTGTAGGCTAGGGTCAGGGATATCGGGTTGGGATTACGATTATGACAGGATGATCAGGGAGAGCCTCATGGAGAAGATAACGTGATCTGACAGTGTGAATGTAATATGACTTGAAATGGGGGAGGTAGATGTGGGGTGTGGATGGGGGCTGGGGGGAACTATTCCAGGCAGGGGGGATGCCAACAGAAGCTTCTGAGGCGGGAGTGTGCCTCCTGTGCTCCAGGGGCAGCAAGGAGGCCCGGGAGGGTGGCCTGGAAGAATCCAGGAGAGTAAAGGGGATCTGCACTTCTCTGAGAACCTGACCCCAGTCCCCTCCCTCTCTGGGACCCCAATACCAGCTCCTGCCACACCCCTTGTAGCTTGAGAGCACTCATATCCTGCCTGTTTATAGCTCCGGAGCCTGAACTTGGCCCATTCAACCCTCTGAGGCCAGATCCTGGCCGTTTTGCCTCTTGAGACCCTAACCCTCATTTCTGGGGAACACAGGCCTCCCTGAGGCTCTGAACCGTTTTCCCTCCCTGAGAGCCTGCCCCGCTGCATTCTTCTTCCCAAGCCTGGACCCCTACCTCACCCTCTTGGGTCTCTGCCTGCCCCTCTCTGTCACAGTTTTGGGGTCTGACCCTTATTCCCATTTCCCTGACCATCTGGGGTTGTAAGGATCGTGCACCCTCTGGGGACCCCCCTCCCAGGCTTCTCTACCACCTGGCACCCTTCCTGGCTCCCTGCCTCTCATTCTTGCCTGCTCATGCACTCCTTTCCCTCCCGCAAGGGGTTACGATTCTAAGGAGGATTAAAGGAGATCAGAAGTGGGCTGAGCATCAACCAGGGGCCAAACACTTGGGGGATGGGGAGGCACCACTAGGCCCTTCTGCCCCTTTCCCCACAGCCATCCCCTCCCCACCCCCTGCACTGGAAGGGGGATTTCTCTGTCCTCCCCTAGGCTCTGAGTCCTTGCAAGCCCCAGAGCGGGGTTGATGGGGGTTGAGCTGGGCCCACCCCTCGTCCCAGGTGCGGCCTGCGCGCTCCTGCCACTACCCCATCATGAAGTGTGGCCCCCTTGGTCTCCTGCTTCCCACCGCCCTCACCTGGATCATGTAGAGCTGGGCCACCTGGTACTCATCCAGGCTCATGGGCAGCAGAATGTGGTACTCCTTGATGAGCATCCTGAAGGTGCTCGGCCGGCCGCGCGCGGCCTCCGCTCCGCCTGGCGCAGGGCACGGCGCGGCAGTCAGTGCGGGGCGGCGGCGCGCGGCCCTGAGCCCTGCGCGCGGGCGGGAGGGCTCGGGCCGCGGGACCCCATGCCTGGGCCCGCTACGCGGGAGGCAGAGGCGAGCCCAGCGCTGTCGCCAGCGCCGCCGGGGACCGCGAGCCGCAGCGAGGCTGAGAGCTGACCTCTTTTCCGCGCAGCCCCCGTCCCCCGCCCGCCCGTCGCCATGGCAACCGCGCGCTGACGCGGGCCCCCCGGAACGGCGGGCGCGGGCCGGCCGGCTAACGGGCCACCTTCGCCTCTCCAGCCGTGGCCGTGGCCCAAGCCCCCTCCAAATCTCTCGGGGACCCACCCCCAGGAGCCACCGTTCCCTCCTTCCTGGCCCGCCTTCCACGACCAGCCCCTGGGGGTCCGCCCCCTGCACCCCGTTTCCCCCACTTGGCGGGGTCGCATGTCCCCCACTCCCGGACATCCATTTAGAACCTTGTCCCCCGGGGTGTCTCTCCGCAGAGCAGTTCCGTGCGCCCCTCCTCTGAGCGTCTGTCAGTGTTCCCCACCCCCCGCATATGAACCCACCTTCCAGGACCACATAACTAACCCCTCCGACCCCCAGATCTGCCTTCCCTATCCTGGCCCGCAGCCCAGTCCTCGACTTCCCCTCCTCAGCATCCTTCCTGGACCCCTGGCACTCGTCTATGCAGCTACCCCATCATCCTTCCCGGGGTTGACCCCTCTTCGGGCTGAGGCAAGAGTGGCTCCACTGGGTATCCCACCGGCCCCCACCCTGGGAGACCCGCTTCGCCCACCTGCGCCCCGGTTCCGCTGCGGGCACCCCTCCCACTCCCCACCTCGCACCCAGCGAACAGGCGAGAGGCCCCATTGTCCCCACTTCCCTCTGCTACCCGGCGTCCCCGTCCCCTGCCGTGCTCTTGGCCCGCCCGCCAACGTCCCGGCTCACCTCTAGTTTAGGGCGGGCACCCCTCACCCGGTACGGGCGGGGGCGGACGGGTCGTGGGTCGGAGCCCGGAGCGCCCCCGGCCCCAGCCTCGGGTTCCAGCAGTGGCCGGACCCTCTGGAGGCGCAGCGAGGGCCCATGGCCCCGACCTTCCTCCGGGTCCGCCCGCCGGCGCCCCTGCCGGCCCTCCCCGAGGCCCGCCGCGTCACTGCGGCCGCCCCGCCCCTTTCCTGGGCCCGGCTGGCCCTCCCCACTCCTGCGGGGTCCCGGCCGCCCCGCCCGCGGCTGCGGCGGCGGAGGGCGGCCCCCGCCTTCCTTACCCAAGCCGGCCGGCCGGGGAACAGGCAGTTCTCTGATCGCTGGCGCTTTTTTACTCCCTCTACTCTTTGGGATCCCCTAAGCTCTCATAGTTCCCTTCCCTACCCTCGGCCAGCCCTCCCCGGGGGCCATGGAAAAATGGCAGGACCCCATCCCCATTCTCCCCAGCCCTCGAACCTGAAACCCAGGGTAGGGGAAATGCCCCAGCCTGCAAAGTCTGGCAAGAAGCCGCTGGTCTAAGGCTTGCCTCTTCTGAGGGGCCAGGGTTCCAGTGCCCCAGGCTTCTAGGGTCATTCAGCTACACATTCAGGTAGAGAGTTGCAGTCACTCTGAATCCCCAGTCTGGCCCCTAAATGGGGCCCCATGACTTCCCACTGATGCCTTCCGGGTCCACAAGTCTGGCCAACCAGACCCCGGGCAAAGGCTGAGACACCTGAGGGCTGGGCTCATTGGACCACACCCAGCCAGCTAGTAGGTGCTGGGATGGCAGCACCGAGCTGGGTCTCACCCCTGCTGGAAGCCAGTCCTCTCCCCTTGGCTCTGCTTCCCACGTGCTGGGGAGAAGGAGGCAGCAGTACCCCCTCTCCTCTGAGGGGTCAGGATGTATTCAGAGCCTCCCAGGGCTGACTCGGAGTTTAAGACGTTAGGGCATTAAGGCATGTGAGGGCCTGCCTTACACGAACTGACATTTCCACCCTGCCAAGCATGACTGCCAATCCAAAGAACCCTCTAGGCCCAGGCTGGCCACAGTGCCCTCCAGCTGTGAGGCTGCAAAGGCCTTGCGCTGCCCCCTGGTGGCAGCACGTGTAGGAGGGGCGGGCTCTCAGCTACGGGAGCTCAACCCTTTCCACTACTTAAAACTGGGAAGGCTGAGGGCTGGAGCAGGTCAGGGTCCCCACCCAAGTCAATGAAAAGCAGGGGCCAGGCAAGGCCAGGGTCAGTAACCCTCTCTCTCCCACCACTGCACCACCCCTTTCCCCTCCCCAAGTCTCCCCTTTCCCAATTTCTTCCTGGCTTAGAAGTACCACACTCAGAAAGACTAAGAGGTAGAGAGAACAACTTCAAATTATCTTTTATTTATACAAAAAGGGTGTATTTAGCAAAAGACACTGAAAAAAGAGTCGCTATGGCCCAGGAGACAAGGCAGGGAGGTGACAGGCCTTCGGAGGCCCTGCTCAGGGAGGAGTCTGGGAAAAGTGATGGAAGTCCTGGGTAAGTGCTGAGTGGTGGGGGCCACAGAAAGAGCAAGCTCCAGCTGGATCAACACTGTTGGCAGGTCATGGGTGGGGCTCACAGTGACCTCGCTGCTGACTCTTGACAGAGTCCCAGTCAGTGCTGTGGACTGGAGTGAGAGCCGCCCCCTCGTTCCTGGAGGGCACCCACCAAGGGACACAGGACAGGAAGCCCAGGTTGGGAAGTGCAACTCAGGGTGAAGGCCAGGGAGAAGCAGGTGCTCTGCAGTGGCCAGGAAAGGTCCAGACGCGGTGGCGGACTTGCGTCCTGTTACGTGCGGGCGTTCCGCTCTGTCTCTGCCAGGCACTCTCTGACTAGGGCCCGGGCATGGATGATGCCTGAGGTGGGGATGGGCAAGGAACATACAGCGACCCTCCACAGTCCTACTCCCACCCTCCAGAGGAAAACCCCTCCCCCCTCACCCTTTCAGGGAAAGGGACCAGGACTATAATCTAATGAGGGGCCTAGTGAAATGAGCGGTTTGGCTAATCCTTAAATTTAAAGACAAATGTCCTGGTCCTTCACCGAAAACTCGCTCAATTTTAATTCCATCCTAGACACCGTTCTGGATAGTGGACACTGGCCATCGTCTAGGCTTGGCTCAAGTGGCCTCCAGATGTCCTTCCTTCCCTGAGGAGGGATTGTCCTGTTAGCTTCCCGAACAGGGAGGGTGGAGGCCGGAGGCCTCACTTACCTCTCTTCAGGCGCTCCATGGCGCTCTTGCTGCCAGCATAGGTAGGCCGGATCTCTTTGCCCATCTCCTCTATGACTGACAGCAGGTCTGTGTAGGTGCTCTGGGAGCCCTGGGCTCCGGGTGGCTTCATCGCCTATGTCAAAAGAGGACAGGGCGATGAGCTCGGGCCCCGAGGGGACCTCCAGTCCCCATCCATACGTAATCCTTCGCCCCCACTCACCTGCACATAGCCCATGGAGGGCGGTCCAAAGTCGTTAAACAGGGGTCTGAAAGGGGCAGCGGCTCCCGGCACCGAGCCCGATGGCGATGGGACACTTCCGGCTGCAACATGCGCGAGTAAGAGGTCAGCGCGGGGCTGGGACGCCTCTCCCCAGCGTTCCAAGCCCCCGACCGGATTCGCCCGATTCCCTCCAAAGGGATGCTTCACTCCCGGCGCTCAACTTCAGGGACAAACCCCTCCCCCTGCGCTCCACCAACTAGCCCACACGTGACCACGCCCACTTCATAGGCCAGCAAACTGATGCTCCGCGAGGGTAGGCGGCAGGCCCGGGGGTGCAGAACTCAGGCCGTCTTCTCGTCGCGACCTCGACCACCCGGGCAGGCGAGCAGGGGCAGAGCTGGATCCTCACCTGTAGGTACCGGGGTGCCGGGCCCAGGGGTACTGGAGCCGGGGGTGCTGCTGGGGGCGGGGGCGATGGGTTTGTAGGACATCCCCAACTCTTGGGTGCGGCGGACGCCGGCCGGCCGCTCCTCCGGGGTTGGCTGCTTGGCCGCTCAGCCGCGCTCTGATTGGTAAACCGGCCGCACGCCCCTGGTAAATAGAGCCCAGGCCGGAAGGGCGGGCGGACACGAATCCTCTCTCACTCCCGATTGGTGCGTGAGGATGTCACTCGGGCCTCCTCATTGGCCAAGACCGACCCCAACAGGCCGCAACCGCTGCTGATTGGCCTCCGCCTTTCGGACCTCGCACCTGTCTGCTCCGGATTGGGCGGTAGCTGACGCCCTACGCAATTGGCGAGTTCGCGGTCCGGGCCGGCGCGCTCTCAATCCGATTAGTCCCAAGGCCCGAGAGGCGGGGCCTCGGAAGCCGGGACCCGGGTCTGGACCGCCGCGGTACGCGCGGAGGGCTCTTCCCGGCGCAGGCGCCGTCCTCACGTTCCGCTCCTGCTGCTTTGCACATCAGCTTCGCATCTCCTGGTGTCGGTCCAGCTGGGCCTGCTATCGCTGCCGCCGCCGTCGCCGAGCGCGCCTTTCCACAGCTCTGAGTTCCGGAGGACGCGAGGCTTTGACGTTCCGAGCCCTGCGTCTCACCCCGTGCGCTTTTACGTCACCTTTCACCGGCTCAGCACCCCGATCTCCGGTCTGCGCATGCGCCCACGTGAAGCCTTCGTTTGTTCCTATGGCAACGGGTCCGTCACCGACGCTACAGCTGCGCCTCTTCGCATTTGCCTCATTCCTCCGTCCAGGCTGGTGTTGGGTCCGAGGGCGACCTCAAAGACCCCTCAAGCTGTCCCCCGAGACTCCGAGCCTGAGCCTCCTACAACAGCAGGAGCAGCTCACCTTCGTTGAATACTCGCCGCGCGCCTGGCCTGTACCCGACGGTCCTGGGTGAGCGCGCCGGGTGATGGCTGGAATCTCACAGCACCCCACCCGCGGTTCCCCCCTGGGCAAGTTACCCACCTCGGTACGCTTGCGTTTCCCCGTCTTCGAGATGCGGACGTTAATAATAACTATCTCGCAGTGTTGTTGTATGGATAAATGAGTTCCTAAGAAGCTGTTTTCATTGTGCTCTTTTCTGTCCATTTCTCCATCCAGGCCCCTCCCCTCAAATTTCATTCCTCACGACCCCAGACCTTAGACTCTCCTCCAAACACTAACCCTTTCTCCCAGGCGACTTCTCGAAACTTCTCCGGCCTTGTGTGCCCTTCATGCCCCAGGTCTGTGCATTTCCCTCATCTCCAGGACATTCGTTCATTCATTCATTCATCCAACGGACATTTTCTTTCTTTCTTTTTTTAAGATTTTATTTGTTAGAGAGAGCGAGCAAGAGCACGGACAGGAGGGAGGAGCAGAGGGAGAGGGAGAAGCAGACTCCCTGCTGAGCAGAGAGCCTGATTTGGGGCTGGATCCCAGGACCCTGAGATCATGACCTGAGCTGAAGGCAGACGCTTTACTGACTGAGCCAGCTGGGCGCCCCAGCAGATATTTTCTGACTCCATCCTCCATCCCAGGCCTTGTGCCGAGCACTGATGATATGGAAATAACCTGGCCACGGATTCTGTTCTCAAGGAGCTCCTAGTCTCAAGGAGAGAAAGACGGGAAAGCAAAGACACACTGTCCAGTAAGACAGTGTGGAGACTAGTACAAGATGCATTGGAACTTAGAGGAGCCCGCTTGGTGACATCACAGGAGTCTTCCCAGGGGAGGTGGCATTCAGCTGGTGAAGGAACAAATAAACTGTGATATATCCACAAAATGGACCATTTATTCAGCAGTGGAGGGAAATCATCTGTGTAGCCATGAAAAGACACAGGCATTTTGCTGAGTGAAAGGAGCCAGTCTGAAAAAAAGCCACACGCTGTATGATTCCAACCGTATGACATTCTGCAAAAGACAGACGTATACATAAGGTAAACAAATTACTGGTTGCCAGGGGTGGTGAGGGATAGACTTAAATGGGCAACACGGGATGTTTTTTCTTTTAAGGCAGTGGAACTCTTTTGTATGAATCTGTAATGGTGAATACACGATATTAAGCATTAGTCATAAAGGGTAAACTCTAATGTAGGCAAAATTAAAGAAATGATGGAGGAGGTCAGGGGATCCCAGGATGGAACAGAATGTGACCAAAGGACCAGCCGTATCATAAATGAATGAGACAGCCTCATGACTGGGTGGGGGAAAGAGTGGATGACTAGAGAGTGAATGCAGAGGAACTGCAAGGAAGCACGTATATGTCGGTGAAGGGGTTTCCTGTGGTGTGTGCGTTAGCAGCTCTGAAACCATAGCACACGTCCACCAGAATCAAAAATTAAGTCAGTTAGGAGGGAGGAGTTCTCATCACCGGAATGAGAAGTGACAGGTAAGCAAGGGGAGGAGGCTAGTATGATCTGTGTGATAAGGGGTTGGAACTGGAGATCTTAGTAGGAACCCTATTCGACACAGATAGAGTCAATTGCATACAGAAATATTTTAAAAATTGTATATACACAGATGAGTGTACATACATCTCTCCTCTGTGCTGTGAGGGCCTAGAAGCAACCTAGCACCCAGATCTTGGTTTCTAATGGCATTCTCCAATAAAATGAACCAGAGCTCCTTGGAGAAATGGCTCATTCTAAGACTGGGGCAGGAAATACACAAGATAATCCTGAAGCATCTTATAGTGCCACAACGTAAGAAAATGCTAAAAAACAAAAAAACAAAAGCAAAACCCCGAACCCACCATACTCCAAAACCCCAAATGCCACCACAATGGGTATATGCCAAAGGGACACAGGAGTCAACTGAAAGGGGTCCCAGTGGCCACAGCTGGAGTGATTTGGAAATTTAAAGGTAAGTGTTGGATTATAACTTGTGCAAAATAAATATCTATGAGCCCATACTGATATATATATATATATATATATATATATATATATATATGTATTTGAATAAATGAAGGGGGAGAAGAGACAAATCTATATAAAATTCCAAGTAGTTTATGTTCATACTCAGCCCTTAATAAAGTGGATTATAACCCCTCACCCCTTCAGTGTGGGCTGTACATAGTGACTTTCTTCCAGAGAAGGTAGTACACTATGGGAGAAAGAAAAAGAGGAATTTTATAGTATAGAAACGTGACAAACCCTACCTCAAGCCAGATGATCAAAGCCAACATCAATAGTGATGTCATGTTGACAGTAGGCACCCTTGATCTGACGGGATGAGAAGGGCACTCGCCTCTGTGGTCATCCTCCTGCCAGCCCATAACCCTAGACTAATCGTGAGAGAAACATCAGACAAATCCCAATTTAGGGATGTTCTATAAAATACCAGAGCAGTTGTCCTTGAAACTGCCAAGATCATAAGAAAACAAGGGAAGTTTAAGAAACTATCACAGCCAAGAGGAGTCTGAGGAGACACTATGCCTCGTGCAATGTGGTGTCCTGGATGGTATTCTGAAACAACAAAAGGATAATCAGGGAAAAAATGATGAAATCTGCATGAAATACAGACTTTAGTTAATAACAGAGTGTCAGTGTTAGTTCATTAACTGACAAATGTACCATTCTAATATGAGATATTAATAGTGTATGGTGGTTAATTTTAAGTGTCAACTTGTCTGGGTCACGAGTGCCCAGATACTTAGTCAAACACAATTTTGGGTGTGTCAGTGAGGGTGTCTCCAGGTGCGATTATCACCCATTGAATTGGCAGACAGAGTAAAGATGACCCTTCCCATGGTGGGTGGGCCTTGTCCAATCAGTTGAAGACCTGAAGGGAAAAAAAAGGTTGAGTAAGAGGGAACTTCTCCTGCCCAACTGTTGAGCTAGGACATCAATCCTCTGCCCTCAGACTAGAACCTACACCATCCACCCTCCTGGTTCTCAGGCTGTCGGGCTCAAACTGGAACCGAACCCCCAAGTTCTCCTGGGTCTCCAGCTTGCTGATTGCAAATCTTGGGACAGCTCAGCACCCATCGTCACCTGAACCAATTCCTTGCTATAAATATCTTTATACCCAGTACACACACCACACACACAGGTATCTCCTATTGGTTCTGTTTCTCTGGGGAATCCTTGACTAACACAGGAGAAGCTGGCCGAGGTGGAGGGTGAACAGGACCTCTCTGTACTATCTTCAAGATAATTCTGTAAGCCTACAACTGTTCTAATAAAATAAGTGGATGGCGTATCATGATGTGGGTGGTGGCTATGTGGGCGCACACACGTGTGAAACTCATGTGCACTTAGGGTTTATACACCTTATTAAATGCTGTCGGCAGTAGTCAAACTATTTGAAGGGGACTTAACGTATATCTGACTTTCCAGCTTCTCTGGGGAAATCCGAGGGTCTCCAAGCTCCGGCCTGCTCCACCTGGCAGGGGTGCTGGTTTTGGGCGACTGGTGCCCCCTTGAAGTGGACAAGGGGCTCTTAACTCAGCACAGTCTCTGCCTCCTCTCTCTTCCCTCCCGGCCCTCGTCCCGGCTCCAGCAGTTAGATCGTTGGGACCTTCTGGGCCATTTTGTGGTAGGAGGATGCTTCTGGTGCTGGCAGATAATGCAGCAGCCAACGAGGACCATCCCACCCTCACCTCCCGCCCCCCACCCCCAACCATAGAGCCTGCCAGCCTAGGAGCCAGGGGGCAGTGAGAGGCAAACCCTGAGAAGGATTCTGGGTTTCCTCCGATGCACATTCAGTCACTACCCTCATGCCCTGCAGAGGGGACAGACATCTTCTCAGGCAGCAATGCTGTCTGTACAGGCCTGCGAAGGGTGGTGGGAGGGAGGGAGGACCACAGCTCCCAGAGATGCCGTGGGGCCTGCGCATGCCCTCCTCATCCTGGGGCCTGCCAGGCCGGCAGGAGAGATCCCATAATTAAGTATTAGGATTAATTGGGATCTGCCGGGTGAGGGAGTGCTGCCGAGGCTGCTGGAGCCAACCCTCACACTTCGGAGCTGGGCTCTGGGCTGGGTGGGACACCAGCATGCCCCTGCCTCCTCAGTCCCCAGGCTACCTTCCTGGCAGCGGTGGTGATGGTGAAGGCTGGGAAGGAGGGCTGAAAGCTCCCACCCCTTCTCGACCAGGTCAGGCATCAGCGGGTGGGCACAGCCGTAGGTCAGGCTGCGCTCTGCCAAGCAGGTGTTTGCTGCAGCTAGGAGAGCCTGAGGCCTGGGGCCTCCCTGACCCGGAGCCACCCTGTCCTGCTGGCCCTGGAGCCAGGGTTGAAGTCCCACCTCTGCTCC